GATGGCCTAAGTTCTGGGGCCCCTGCACTCATATGGGAGACCCGGAAGAAGCTCCTGGCTCCTGGCTTTGGATCGGTACAGCTCCTGCCGTTGCAGCCAATTGGGGAGTGAACCAGTGGAAGGAAGATTCTCCCTCTCTCTCTCTCTCTCTCTCTCTCTCTGTGTAACTCTTTTAATTTAAAAAAAAAAACCTGCTGCAGAAGCAATGTCTCCTTATTCCTATCTGAGGAGGTGTGTGCCTTTTCTAAGGACAAGAAAACTTTCACACCTTTTGTGTGAAGCAAATAGGAAAGGATTTTCAAAAACATTAATGGAAAATGTGTAATATGCTATGCATGGATTTCAAAATTTTGTTGCAACAAAGTAAGCTCATGCTAATTTGTATAACAGGTCTCAACAGGATCTAGTTTGAGGCACTAAGGATGATAAGATAATCAGTTTGAAAAGTGCCACTATCAGCTATCAGAACATGATGAATTCAGCAACAACTGGAGCAAGAACAAACATCGAATTTATGGTGAAGCTTGGGTGGAAGAATGGTGAGATCTTAATGCTTTATGAGAAGTTTATGGGGACAGTGTTCCAATGAAACCAAGGTACAGAAAGATAACTCATTTTAAGAAGGGACTAGACAGTGTTGAAAATGATGCCCACAGCAGCAGATCATCCACATCACTTTAGGAGAAAAACAACTTAATTTTGCTCCCTAGATGAACAGGACTGGTGATTGACAGCGGAGACCATAGCTAGCTCTGTAGACATCTCAAGCAGTTCACCTTGCACATTCTGCTTGAAAAATTAAACTGGAGCAAACTTTCTGCTCTATGGAGGCCAAAACTGTTGCACCCAGATCAACCACAAAGAGCAGGGCTTTCGATGGGAATTTTAAGTAAATAGGGTCAAGACCTGAAGCACTTGTTTGGAGAATTTGAACAAGAGAGGAAACATGGCTTTACCTGTACAGTTCTTAAGATAAAGAATAAAGCAGTGGCTACCAAGAGGTGGAAAAGGTGTCTTCAAAGCTGATGTGCATTGGTCCGGAGTGGAGGTGACAGCAACTGCTTTATGAGATGTTAATTTACTGAAAGACCAAAGAATGATAATATCTTCCTATTATGAGAGTGTTTTGAGACAGTTAGGCCAAGTTTTAGTAAGAGCAATGCCCAGTACAGCTCCACCAAGACACTCTGCCATCAAGAGGCTGCTGCTCGTTCCTCTCATCAAACGAGAGCAATTTAGTGAAAAATTCCTTGGGATATCCTTGGACATGCACCTTACAGTCTTGATTCGGCATCTTTTGACTTATGTTTGTTTCCTATTCTTTAAATGGTATCCATGTTTCTTTAGTTGATAATGGAAACCAGGAACCTCAGTTTTTTAGGGATGGACTACATGGCATCATTACCTACAAAAGTGATTTGAACTTAAATGAACTTATGTTGAGAAAATTTGTATTTTTTATTTTTATCTTTTACTTGCATCTCTCCATGAACTTTCTAATGTCCCCTCATATTGCCACCCACTCACTTTTTTCATTCTGTCTCTGATGTTATATTTGTTACTTAGGAAATAGCAATTAGTCCGTATGTTTATTGAATAAAGGACCACTCTAAATATTAAGAGTTGGGATCATCCTGTAATGGTGGCATATAAAATAATGTGATTATAAAAGGAAGTCATAGGATATAACATGCAAGAAAAGAAAAAGAAAATGTGAAAGTCACAGGCCATCAATGCTCAGAGAATCATCTCTGCATTTACAAATATTTGAGAGGTAGATAGTTTTGTTCAGAAGAACAACGGCATTGATACAAAGCAGAATTTGTGAAGCACTGAAGTAATATAAACTTGTCAATATTTGTGGTTTTTGACCTCAGATTTCATAGAAGTCAATTTGGACACATTACTTGGTTAACGGTAACACTTTTTAGTTCAGAGGAGCAGCTGGGACCAGGGCAAGGAAGTAAAATCACATTTTATCCCATGTGTTAGTTTGCAAAAAAATTTTCAGAATTATTTTTATTACAAGGGACACAAGAGGAAAGTTCTCATGTATTGCCTGGTTTCATAACAAAAAACAATCATCTGGATTTTCAGAAGTTGACTAGAACATGTGTGTCTAGTGGACATGATCTGTAAGTAAGGTTTATTTTGAGTACTAGGATGCAAAGCAGTACTAAGTACTAAGTACTAACAGGGCCTAGGAGCAGTTGCCAGCTAAAAGCCAGGGTGACTTCCATGCATCTTACTAACAAAATGCATTTCTGCTTTGTATCCTCTTGAGTAATCTGGATTCATATAGTGAACATGTCAGTGGTTGCAGGCTGATGGAACACTCCCTTCTCACAAGCATATTCTGTGGGTTTTCAATGGAAGGGGCAAAATGTATTTTTAGCTTGTAAACACAGCAACTATAGAAATAAATGAGTTTTAAAGGCAGGTATTTTATCACTATAAACTTAGGTTTATTATTTTAAAATAATTGAAAACAAGTCAGGCCCACGATATTGTGATTAAGTATTCTCTGCAAGTATTTTAAAGAAATATGTCTATATTTTGAATTGAGGCTCTATGGTTAGCCATTCTAAGCTCTGCATTACAAATATATAAAACCAAGCACTGATAAACGTGGAAGAAAGATGTAACAGGCTCCCTTGCAGAACGAGGCTGTTGTCCCAGTGTGGTTTCATCCCTCCACCCTGACCCCAGAACAGGGGACGAAACATACTCATTCCTACAAAGTGATGCTTAGGCAAATGCCAGGTACAAACTCTTGCAAACTTACATGTGATTTGTAGGGAGATGTTTGCAGGCATTGAAATGAACAAGGAACACTTTGCAAGTCTGGGGGAGGCAGGTGGAGACATTGGCAGCTGCTGTAGATCTGAGGTCCTCTAAGGGAGATTTGCATTTTCTGAGCTTCCCAAAGGGCTGACCTGGATGCATTCTGGGTTAGCCCTGCACTACAGCAACTCTATTATTAATTATGCAAACTGGTTTTTTTTGGATGGGTAAAAGAATTCAGAATGACTCAGCAAGAGATTTCAAAACCAAAGGCCTTTACCTGCTTATGGAACTTTTTTAAAATCTGGTGTCTGCTGTGTACCCTGGGGAGGTCAGAAGTTTAAGAATACAGAACAGGCATCCTCAGTGCAGTGGCCCCTGGGAAGTGCCAGCTTTTCCAAGAACGTCCAGTCACTTCTGGTCCACCTCCTCCTCCTGTCCCTTCATCTCCATCAAAGGGGCAGATGGTCGACAATTTTCAACATCCGCCTTTTTCTTTCCTCTAACAAACTTATCTGAAGCCTGGTATTGCATCTCCAAACCAGTGGCTGGCTTTGTCCTTGGAAGGTGTGTGTGTGTGTGTGCACCTACACCTCTCTCTAGATGAGACTCCGTGTCTACATTTAATTGGAAAAGGGGGCGTGTGTGTCCAATAACGATGCGAAAGCAACTATGGGTTTCCTCGAAGTCCCTGCTAAAGCGACAGTTGGAAGATTCAGCCGGACAAGGCGCAGTTCCCGAATCACCCTTCCCTCCTCACCTATTTTGGGAACGACTAGCAGCTGTGGGGAAACCTCGCAATCGCGCACACCGGGGGCTTTTGCAGAGATTCCCTCTGATTTTTTTTTCCTACCCCAATTTCCCACAACCTGTGTTTGTCTCGAGTCCGCCAGCTGACGTGTGGTTTACCTCGCCGGTTCCGCCGCCGGGCTTGGCACACTCTCCGCCCGAAGTAAGGCGAGCGAAGCCCGGGGGTGCAGAGCAGCCAGGAGGGCCCCGAGAATGCGCTCCCGAGGGTTCCGGCCCCGGCCCTCCCTGCGCCCACGTGAGCCCGGGCGATCTGGGCAGTGCCCGCTGCTGCAGTCAGTAACTCCACTTGGCATATATATATATTTTTAATTGCAGCTCTGGCGATCTGAGTTCTTAAAAAAAAAAAAAAAACTTTGTTGGGACACTTTCACAGTCAGCTGTGGCGAAGGCTCACGCACACGCTTTCCCAACTGTTCCCTGAGTTGCCCGAGGGTGCCAGCAGCAGCCCGGGAGAGAAACGCACGAGCTGTTTGCGGGGGAGGGGAGACGCAGATCGGCAGCAAAGTTGTCACGAACCCCTCGCCACCCCCGGTCTGGCACTCCCCGCAGGGACGCACGTCATCCATTAATTGCTGTCTGCAGACTTCGCAAACCTAACGCATCCATTTTTTTTTTTTTTAGCTTTGGGAGCCATCAATGGAGCGAGCGCGCTCGTGTCTGTTTGTTTGTGTAAGGCTATCAAAAGGAGTCAGAGAGGAGGCTGCGGCCCGGATCCTGACCCTGATTGTATGAATAAGTAAGCAGGATGCGAGTGATTGGGTTAAATGCTGCGAACATTTTTTTTTTTTTTTTCAAGTTAGGAAGAGGGTAGGGAAAAAAAAAAAAAAAAAAAAAAAAAGAAAGAAAGAAAAAGCCCGGCGGGCGGGCGGGCGGGGGAGAAGGGCCAACAGTGCATCCCCAAAGCCTCACCCTTGCGCTCTCCTCGCCGTCAGGCGCTCTGCGGGCTCCCGCAGGCTTGGACGGGCTGGCGGCGCGGAGATGCCTGCCCCCCACCCCCTTGCTCGGTCTCCCCTTTCAGTTCAGCGGTGCTGATGTGCAGACCGGATTCATCTTCCCGGAGCGGCGGCGGGCGCAGGCGGCGGCGGCGGCGGCAGCTCGCGCTCGGCCGCTCGGTCCTGGTAGTCGCCGCGGCGGCGGCGGCGCGGCGCGGGAGCCCGAGCTCCGGGCGCAGCTGAGCCCGCGGGGGCGCCCGCTCGCCGAGCCGCGGCCGGCCGTGGGAAGTTCGGCCTCCGGGAGGACGCTCGGGCCGGCGGCGAGCGCCCGCGCCGCCCGCCTCCGGGAGCCCAGCGCCTCACCTGCCCTCCGCCCACCCGCGGGCCCCCGGCCAACTTCCCCCTGCCCGTGCGCGGGGCTAGCAGGCGGCGCCCGCCCTCTCTCCTGTCCCGCTGGCACCCGCATGTCTCCGGACACCTGAACACCCCGGGTCCCGCCGAGGAGCCTCCCCGCGGCGGCGGCGGGGGTGGGGGGCGCGGAGCACCGGTCCCCTGCGCCCCGCACGGCCGCGGCCGCCTGCGCTCCGCGTCCCGTCCCCTCCGTGGCCTCCGGGGGAGGAGGATGGGGCTGGACGCGCTTTCCCCGAGGATGCTCGTGTGGCTGGTGGCCTCGGGGGTCGTGTTCTCCGGGCAGCCGTGGGTCTGCGCTGGCCTCGGGGACGATTTTTACGCTTTGGATGGGAGCGAAGAGGACAGGACGGAGAGCCTAGATTACAAGGACCCGTGCAAAGCCGGTAAGTGCCTGGCCGGGGCCGGGACGGCGGCGCGCTTCCGACGGGGGGCGGTGGGAGCTCACCTGCTTCCACCCCGCGCTCGGCAGCCCCTCCGCCGCCCCGTCCCGACTCGGCGGGAGCGCGGAGCCCGGGGCCCCCGTGCCAACTCCCGGCCCCTAGTTTTGGGCAGCGCGCGTCCTGGAGTTCCTGCCCCAGCAAAACCGAAACGAGTCAGGGAGACAGCTTGGCTGCCCCTGGCTTCGAAATACCCGCACTCCGCCGGCTCCCCGCACCGCCTCTTTGTTCCAGGGCGCGGTTCCCCGGCGGCCGAGAACCGGGCGGGCAGGGTCCCCGCCGCCACGGGGTGGCTGGGGATGGCGTTGCCACCTGGAGACGCCTCTACACGCCCCCCTCCTCTGGCGGGCATTCCAAGCGTGAGTTCCAGCTAGGAGGGGATTGTGGCCACCTTGGAAGAACTCACTTCGAGATGGGAGTCCTTTGCATTTGTCCCTTGAAAATCTCCCCCCCCCCATAAATTTAATTATTTTTCCTTGCAAGTTGCTACCCCATTCAAACTTGTGCCTTCCCGCCTGAGGACGGCCCCGGGAGCTGCAGAGGGACCCGCTCGGCGCCCCGGGTGCCCCCTCCGCGCCCCGGGTCTTTGGCCTCCCGGGCTCGCATCTGGCGCCGCCACCCGCGCGCGCGGGGCGGTGCCGGCCGCCCGCCGCCCCAGGTCGGAGCCCCCACGTGCGGCGCCCCGCGACCACGTGAGCGCGGCGCCCGGAGGCGGCCGCGGCCTCGCTCGCCCGGGTGGCGGTAGAGGTGACCCGAGCGCAGCGTGGACCCGCGGCTAACTTTGGGACGAAGGTTCCAGGGGGCTGGAGGGGGCGGACTTGGCAGGGCTGCGTGAGTCCCGTGGCGAAGCTTCGAGAAAGGGAGCGGGCCAGTGCCTCCGGTCCCCGCCTGTGACTTCCCAGGGTCGCTGCGGGCTGGCGGTGGCGGCGGCGGGTGGGGTTGGCCTTCTGTGGCTGGCGTTTCTTGCTCCTGGTGCTGGAGGGAGGAGGCGCGTCCCCAGCGAAGGGAAGTGCTGCCCGTCCGTCCCCCGGGTAGTTGGATGACGCCTTGTGCTGACACGGAGGGTGTGCGTGTTGTATTCCAGTTACCAGTAGTGAGCGCACCCTTGATGCACAGACTCACTCAAAACTCAGAGGAGCTTAGACGCTTGCTGGGAGGAGCTCAGAGAATTCTGACGCGATTCAGTTTCACCTCCAGGTTCTCTCCAGAAACACATCACCTGGTTTCCCACCCAAGTGTCTTGCGTCCTGCCTGGTGGTCTGGATAGGAGGAGGGCGTTCCGCTGAGTGGGTCCTGGGCGCCCCGCTACCAATGTGCTGAGTGATGCTTGCAACCCAGTGAAAACTGTGTTGCTTCTGTGTGGTGACGTAGAACGGAGGTCCATTATTTCTGAAGACCGTCTAGGAAAATTCAGCCAGCCTTCCCTGTGGAGCGTTTGCACAGTGTGTATTCACAGGCACATCGAGCGTCCAGGTTTATTTTCCTAAGGGGGAAAACACATAGAGCAAATTAAAAAAAAATTATAGCCTTTATTCCCCGCCCCCTTTGATACTATAGTTCAAAGTAGCTACAGCTCGAGTTTGAGCCAATTGTTGTCATCTCACTTCTCCCCATCTTTGGGTGGAGGAGACGAGCGCCTGCCTGTGTGAGAGAAATAATGTCTCTGGTGGAAGGCTGCGAAGTACTCGCAGAATTGAAGATTCCTTCTAAAATGCTCCACTCTGCTTTCTGAATTTAGAGAAATGAAACGTTTTCGTTTACTGGCTTGGTGACAGTGGAAAAATCTTGATGTCTCCTTTTGCTACTAAGTGAGACAAGCACAATTTGAAGTCACAGAATGAAAAACACCAGGTAATTCACTGATATCCCTAACGAGAGTGCACAAGGTCACTGACGTAACAAGGCGAGAACAGGTCTGGGAATGGAGGCCAGGCCAAAGCCCAGGGAGCATCCTGCCCCCACCCTGGGGCTGCCTTTGATTTTCCCTTTCCATGTAGCGAATGGAGGCCTTGGCCCATGAACTCCAAAGAGCCCTCCTGAACTTCTGTGAGGGGAGGCTCAATATTCCTCAAACTACTCCGTGGTGTAGGGGCCTAAGGACACCCATAGCTGAATGTTTCAAACACTTTTCAGTACATTATTTGACCTGGTGTTCAGAACAACCCAAGAGGGTAGAAGTTTTTTAATCTCCCCATTACACAGATAGGAAAACCGTTCCTCTATCAGCCTTTGCCTAAAACCTCTTTTAAGATTAGCCAGCACTCGATTCCTAGTCCGATGACTGTAGAGCCTGGTCGTATTTAATAATCACACTACACTTTTAGCTGGCTGTTGGAGACAAACAGCAGAAATTGGTTTAGGTTTACTAGGAATCCAGAGTAATAGAGCTGCAGTTATTGTCATACTTGGTTAAAAGAAGTGGCTAAAAGCATAGGTTCATATTTTGCAAGCCCAAAACCTTGAGGACAGAGATCATAACAGGTTTTTAATGCTTATCAAGGCAGGCGATGGGGTATGACTGATAAGACCTGAGTGTGTTCTCAGCGCTTTGCTGGGATGCATAGCCTTACTTCTCTACCAACTTCTGTTCTAAATAAGATCAACTGCATGTTGCCCATGGGGCACTATCCTGAGCTATAACTTGTTAAACTTGTTAAAAACTGTGCCAACCTTACAATATTTGTGAAATCGAATCCGATTTGTATGCCTATCAGAACTGTGATACCAAATTATGCAACTATAGGGCAGGAAGGAAGCCTTGTATTCATTTTATTGCATGTTGATGTAGAAGGGCACCTTTTGGTCTATATGAAAGAAGGCAAGTTAGTAAAACACAGCTTCAAATAAGTATCACTATGTGGCCAGATCCATTAAGACAGAATACTCACATAGGTACTTTGTATACACAGAAGTGTAGGTAATTCTGAGGAGCGTCTGGCTCTCTTTGGCGTAGTCCTTGGTCATCTGAATGGGCAGGTTTCTCTTATTCTTTCTAGTTCAGACAGGTCCCCGGGGACACTGGGGGGCTGATGTTGCAGGAGTCTGGTCCAGCGCCCAGCCGGTGGTGTCCTGTTTCCTTGTTGTCCTGTATCAGTAAGTGTTCATCTGAGCTGGGCCAGATGCAGTCTGCCAGTTAATCTTCTGGCAGATTTGTGTAGAAATCTGGAAAAGCAGAGGCCTGATGAACTGACTATTAACACAAGGCCTTCCTTCTCCCCCTCCCACCCTCTCCCTTCCTTTCTTCTTTCTTTTCTGTATTTTAGGGGCTGTTAGCAAAGTGCAGGCAGTTGCCAATGGACTATCTAATGAGGGAGACGGAGACTGTTGTGACTGAGAAACGTGTGAGACTGGTGAAGTGAAATGTTTGTTCAGAAGGGTAATCTCTTTGGACATACATCAGCCCCCCCCCACCCCCAAAGAACATGAATCTCCACCTTAAGGCTCCTGATTGCTCTTTTCCTTGGAAAATCGAGTGGTGCTTAAAGGTCAGTGGCTGCAAGGTTGAATTTGCCTTTTGGGTAGCTTCTGCAAGCTTGTTTATATAGAAAGAGTCTTGGCATCCTAGAGAATTCTTTCTGTCTTTCTTCATAACCGGTGCCCTAGTGTCCTGGTACAGTAGCCTGGGATAATTTCTGTAACTTTGCAATTTCTACGTAAGATTATATTCATTCTTTTGGCTTTCCGCGTTGTACTTTCTGGCTGGACTGGCAGCCTGTCAGGTGTGGCCCTTTAGAATTTGATATTCAACTCAGCTTCTACTTTATTCCATCATCATTTTATATATCCAAACATTTATTTCTTAGTCGGCGCCTCTTTAGACTGCCAAGTTCTCATTTAAAAAGTGTATTTCAGAGATCTGCTTCTCCTAACCAGTCTCTTCTGTTTTAGTTTTCATTCCTCAGATCATGGATTTTTTTTCCCCTTCTGCCTCCGGTGCCAACTTAGAAGAGGCCAAAATACAGTTTTCGCAAAAGGGATGGGATAAGGCATCATTTTCCGTATGTTTGACTTCTGTTCTTCCTTTGCCAGTAGGAATTATTGAGCCCTTGTCTTAAGGGCTCTTTCCCATTTGGGGCCTACAAATGGCAGTTACTGTTATTAGATATTTTCTTAAATATAAACCCTCGGACTGGACCAGCTCTAGACTCCCTCATTGTCTTTTTCTTTTTTGGTAGGGGGAGGGAGTGTTTGCAAAGCCTCCTGACATCTTCCCACTGTTTGTCTCTGAAGCAGATCCTTCATTTGCAAATTCAGAGCCTAACTGGATTATTTGCTTTGCTGCTGTTGAGTTTGAGTTCTTTGTGTATTCTGGATATTAGCCCCTTGTCAGAAGCATAGTTTGCAAATATTTTCTCCCATTCCGAAGGCTGTTTCTTCACTCTCTTGATTATTTCCTTTGCTGTGGGGGAGTTTTTTGCTCTGATATAATCTGTTGTCTCTCTTTAATTGTCTCTACTTTTATGTTATTGTCCAAAAAAGTCCTTGCCCAAACTAGTGGTGTAGAGTATTTCCATTTTCTTCTAGTGGTTTTATAGTTTCAGATTTTACATTTATGTCTTCTATCCATTTAGATTAGGTTTAGGGTGATAGATGGGGGACAGTCATTTTTTCACTGGTCGACATCCAGCCCACTGCTCTAAGAATGTGTGTCCTTGGCTAAATATGTGTTCTTGGCACCTTGCAGAAAATCATTTGATTGTAAGTTGGTGGGTTTATTCCTGGGCTCTCTTGTGTAGCTGTCTTTTTTTTTTTTTTAATGCCAGTTCCATGCTGTTTTGATGATGATAACTTTTTAGTGCATTTTGAAGTTGAATAGTATGCTGCCTCTGGCTTTGTTCTTTTTGCTCAAGATTGGTTTGCATATTCAGTGTCTTGTGGTTTCATATGAATTTTGTGATTGTTTTTCTGTTTCTGTGAAGAGTCCATTTATATTTTGCTATGAATTG